TGATATTTATCCTTGCTCCCCAAAACTTTTTAAAAACAAATTCTTAATCCAAAAGAAAAATAAATGATAAAACAAAAAGACTTCTTAGGTAACATATAGATCCGGGACTCTTGCGAGTCTTATCTCCGTCCAATACTCCCTCTCAAGGTGGTGTATGAGGATTGCAAATGCCCAACTTGGGAAGGAAAGAGTCAAACTGTCTTTGTCCGAGAGCCTTGGTGAAAATGTCGGCAAGTTGTTCACCGGTTCGTACATAGGCAGGTGCAATAGTGCTGGATAGGAGCTCATTGCGAATGAAATGACAATCAACTTCAATATGTTTGGAGGGTTCGCGACAATGTGCAAAGCATCTTGATTGTCACAAAACGAGCGTATAGGTTGAGGATGAGATATACCCAAAGACGATAGCAGACCTTTTAGCAACTTCAACTCATAACTGGTAGTGGCCATTGACCGGTATTCAGCCTCGGCAGAGGAATAGGAGATAGTATGTTGTTTCTTAGTCTTCCAGGAGATGGGGGAATGTCCTAACATGACAAAATACCCAGTAAGAAAGCGACGAGTTAGATGACAACTTGCCCAGTCGGAATCACAATAGGCATACAATTGCAGATCACTATCAGAGTGCAAAAATATTCCTTGACCAGGACGTCCTTTCAGATAACGAACCACACGTAATGCCGCATCCCAATGATCAACACGAGGACACTGCATAAATTGGGCCAGGACATTGGTGCAATAACTGAGCTCCGACCGTGTAATGGTTAAATAAATCAACCAGCCCACAAGACGTCGATATCGTTCAGGGTCATCCAGGAGTGCTCCGTCAGCAAAGGCAAGTTTATGATTCTGAGTAATAGGAAAGGGAGCAGGTTTGGACCCCAATAAGCCAATTTCTGTAATAATATCAAGTGTATATTTTCTTTGGCAAAGAAATATCCTCGATAATCTGCGAGTCACTTCGATGCCCAAAAAATATTTAAGAACACCCAAGTCCTTCATGTGAAAACACCGGTTCATATACTGTTTAAATTTGTGTATGAAGTCTGGGTTATTCCCACCAACGATTAAGTCATCAACATAAACCAGGACGTGCAAGACAAGCCCATTCTTGCGATATGTAAATAAGGAATAATCGGAATAGGACTGTTCAAACCCAAAAGTTTTCAAGGCGGCACCTAACTTAGAAAACCAGTTCTGGGGGACTTGCCGCAAACCATACAAAGATTTTCGGAGTTTGCATACCTTTCCAGTCCCGGTGGCCGAAAAAACTGGAGGAGGTTTCATATAGACCTCCTCATGGAGGTCACCATGCAGAAAAGCATTGTGGACATCCATTTGATGCCATTCCCAATGTTGGGCCACAGCAACTGCTAAGAAGGTTTGAACTGTGACCATTTTAGCCATAGGGGCAAAGGTCTCATTGTAATCAAGACCTTCAACTTGAGTGTTGCCCAGGACTACCAACCGTGCTTTAAATCTTTCAATGAATCTATCAGAGTTGTACTTGATTTTGTAGACCCATTTACAACCGTTTGCCTTTTTTCCAGGTGGGAGGTCTTCCAAGGTCCATGTCCTATTGTCTTCCAAAGCCTATATCTCTTGGCGCATAGCATCGTGCCATCGAGCATCAGTCATTGCCTCAGAGAAACGAGTAGGTTCTCGGCCTGTAGTAACAACTGCCAAGAAATGTCTGTGTTTCATAAAAAAATTATCATATGTCACATAATGAGTTATGGGATCAGGAGTACCTGAGGACTGAGATGATGCGGGAGAAACAGCGGAGGGGTCTAAACGACGAGCAGAGTGTGTGACAAAGTCTTGTAAATACCTGGGGGGCCACTTTTCTCGATGTCTGCAGCCTAATAACTCCGTGGTGGGCTGAGAAGCAGCTGGAGTTTCATTATTTCTGCAAGCTGTATGGCTCCTTGTCTCATCAAGAGGACCTGCCTCCTCTTCATTACCCGTGTTTTGGTGTCCTTCTTCATTGATCGTGTCGCTCCCCCTGACTTCTATATGAGGTGACTCAGATACCATGTTAGGAGGAGTGGCCCAAGGTAACCCAACATTTTCTTTGGCTACGGGAGGACTGGTTAGTAAGGGTTGATGTTCCGGACTGGTAATGGCAAACTCGACCTCACTAAACACCACGTCTCACGAGACGAAGTAATCACCAGACTCAAGATCGTATAATTTCCATCCCTTTTTCCCAAAAGGATACCCAACAAAGACACATTTCCTACTCCTAGTGGCAAATTTGTCACTGTACCGAGTATACGAAAAACACAAGCAACCAAAAACTCTGAGATGTTTATAAGAAAGACTTTGTCCAAACAACATCTCGTAAGGTGTTTTACCACCAAGAAGGGTTGAAGGTGTCCGGTTAATCAAGTACTCTGCGATCAAAACACACTCACCCTAGAAATTGATCGGAAGATGTGCTTGAAACCTGAGTGCTCTGGCCACATTCAAGATATGACGATGCTTTCTCTCCACACGACCATTTTGTTGTGGTGTTCCAACACAGGAAGCCTGAAATAAAATCCCTTGCTCGTCAAAATATGATTCCAATGATTTAAACGCTGTTCCATTATCACTTCTCACCACCTTAACCTTCTTACTGAATTCTCGTTCAATCATTGCACATAAATTTTTGAGTGTTCGATCAACTTCACTTTTTTCAGCCAATAAATAAATCCAAACCGCTCGAGAATAATCATCAACAATTGTCAAAAAATATACAACACCGCAAGATGCAGGTACTCTATAAGCATCCCATAAGTCACAATGAATCAAAGCAAAACAATCGGTCACTTTATTGCCGCTTTGAATAAAAACATCTCTAGTTTGCTTTGCCTTCAAACAAACATCACAGGTTTTGTTCTTACTATTACTGGTATTAAGAAGCAAACTAACCGTTTGATAAGAAGGGTGTCCCAATCTTTGATGCCACAAATCGCATGATCCAATTCCATCTGTCTTGTAAGCACGAACCGGCGCCACAGCCTTGAAGACATAGACCCCATCAAGCTGTTCACCCGCACCAATCAGAGTCCTCGAGATGCGGTCTTGTATCACACACAACTTATTAGTAAACGTCACAATACAATCTGTGTCACGAAGTAACCGACCTACTGACAATAAATTACAATTGAGTTTTGGGACATATAATACGTGCAACAATTTAAAATTATTTCCAATTTCAACAGTGCCTTCTTTCACGGCCTCGGTGGCGCACCGTTGGGTAAGCTAACAGGATAAGGTGCAACATCATAGGTGTCGACGAGCACATTTAAATTTCTTGTCATGTGATGTGACGCCCCAAAGTCAACAATCCATTCAGTGGAGTAATTCTTACCAGAGAGTTTTTCATTAGTCCTGGTTTTGTAAAAATTAAGCATACTTACAAGAGTCTGCCATTGCTCGTCATTAAGCCCGTTCAGTCCGATTTTGTCTTCATTAGCCACAACTGCATTAGCAACCACCTCACGCCTTGCTGATGACTGAGCAGTATGAGCCTTTGCCGTACCTCGGCCACATCCGCCAGAGGGTCCAACAGACTTACTCGAGCTCTCACTGTTCCTGTCATTGTTGGCAGCCATGGTGAAAAAAAAAGACGGCCGTCGCCGTTACCCACTAGAAGCATGGGAGGGGTCTGATCAAGATTAACGGCTGTCCGATCGAGTTGGTGAAGTTGGAGATCCTCCGTTATAAAGTTTTCGAGCCTATTCTTCTGCTCGGTAGGCACTGGTTCTCCGGCGTCGATATGCGAATCCGAGTAAGAGGTGGTGGGCACAACTCGCAGATATATGCAATTCTACAGAGCATCGTCAAGGCATTGGTTGCGTACTACCAGAAGTACATAGACAAACAGTCGAAGAAGGAGATCAAAGACATTCTGGTGAGGTACGACCAAACACTGCTTGTTGCGGATCCTCGGCGTTGCGAGCCCAAGAAGTTCGGTGGGTGGGGTGCTCGTGCGAGGTTCCAGAAATCATACCGTTGAGGAAGCTAAAGTAATGGATCATGTAGTTGAACAGATGACCCCATATAAGAAGACACATCGAGTTGCTTTCATCAATACCATTCCAAAATCTCCTGCCGGGAAGATCTTGAGAAGGGAGTTGATTGATCGTGCTCTCTCCTTTGCATCAGCTATGTTATAATCTTATCTGGCAGTCTGCGGCTCCTCTATGCCACGGCTGCAGCGACGTCACCCGGTGATCGACGTAGTGGTGGAGCAGCAACACTTCCTTCTCCCATTTGACCTTTGTAGTTCCGACAGTTCCAACGGTTTCAACTTCTTGTTTCTTCCAATAGCAGCCAAAATCGCCGTAGGCAACGAAAAGCTTCTCTTCACTCTCGTGTCGTCAACGACAGGAAAAGGGAGACAGAGAGGAAGGAACCGAACAAAGCTCCTTGGTTAGTTCCAGACTACCAAGATAGAGAAAGAGAGAGCCAGGTTCGCTAGCGTCTTGGTTTTGATTGGCTCTGATACCATGAAAAAATTCAGAAGCCAAAGATGTCATTTCCCATTGATATCTTATGATATTTATATACAAAGGATGGATTTCCTTGCTCCCAAAACTTTCTAAAAACAAATTCCTAATCCAAAAGAAAAACACATGACAAAACAAAAAGACTTCTCCGTAACATACATATCCGGGACTTTGCGAGTCTTGTCTCCGTCCAATAAGTTTTCTGTTTCTTGATTCCTCTGTTTGTTTGTTTAGGCTTGTTTATTTGGCTTGCTTCCTGTAATGAAAGTTTCTTAAACAAAACCACTCCCTCTCCAAAGTGGCTTCTACCCGCAAGAAGGGGTGTTACAAAAAATATAGCAGTCCTGACATGTCGCATTGATCTTACCGTTTTCTTCATACTATTTATTTTCTTACTTCAATTTATTTGTAACAAACTACACAAAGGAGGGAATACAATTCCCTTTTTGGTCAAAAGAGAATGCAAATTCACGAAAAGGATATCCACAGACCAAAGCAACATCACGGCTAAATAGATCAGCAAAATATATTGGGATAAATCTGCCAGCTGACATTGTTCCACTGAAATAACTCAAAAGAGAGAAAAGTCAAAGACAAGTGGTTTGTTACGTTACGTATGGGCTTACCAAATGTTGCGGTGGAGAACGTGGTAGGGGCCCCACCTTTGACGTTCAACTCAATCGAGTCTCCGATGCCGGACACACTCTTCCTTCCCGTCACCGTAAACTAATCAAAGTTGTCTACTTCCCCCTTCTCCGTGTTCTCCTTCACTCCTTCATGTATTTACAATTCACAAATCTAGACTCGCTTTTTCTCCGCACTGCGCCCAGCCCCGATCTTCACCGCTTATTTTCCTTTCTTTTTTGGATGCACTGAGGGAACTAGGAATCAACCACCGCAACTGCAACCAAACCAAGTAGCTTCCGGTGAATCGGGGTGTTAAATTTGTCTAGAAGGGTCTGCATCTTAGACACGATGGCCAAGCTGTTACTCGTCAACTCCATCGAAATCCTCATCGCTGCCTTCATTTCTTCCAACACTGCCTTGCTGCTGCTGGAGTTCAACTCCTCCAAGCCGTCCAAACAGGTTTGTTCGTATGTGATGGCGGAGCTGAGCCACGTCCTGAGGTTGGTTATCTTCGAATCCGTCAACAATTTCTCCCTCTGCCCTACCTGCATCGAGGAGATGGACGAGTTGATTTGATCGACGGCTTCTTCGAATTGGATCTGGCAATCCTGCAGCGCCGCCACCAGAGCTGGATCGTTGTTTACCTTGGCGATTAGCTTCTGGGGCAGAGAAGAGAGATTAGAGAGCTCGTTGAAGGCCACTTGCAGAGACAGCTTGAAGATCTCTTCCGGGTCTGTGGTTTTCTGTTCGAGTTTAAGGGAAGAGATGCTGGATATGCAGGATTTGGGGTAAAGAGTGACGTTGCAGACGGTTTTGATGGAGTCTCCCACGGAAATCGTCGAAGGGATAGACATAGACTTGTCGCTATCGTTCTTCTCATCCTTATGTGTCGTTGAGCCGACCACAAAAGCGACGATGATGATAACAAGGATGAAAGCCGAGACGGCAATGATGATCAGACGCTTACGAGTCTCCCTGCGGAATTCACGCTCTTCCGGTTCGTCTATCTTGCCGTAGCCTTTGAAGGATTTTATAGTGTCCATCATATCCTGGTGTTCTTAGGAGGAGCCGCTTGCTTAATTTGAAACTAGCTCAGTAGTTCGTGTCTTGGATCCTTCTTTATTTTTCTTGGCACTGTATAATCGAGAACGAAGTTAAGACAAACGGAAAAAAGGAGAAGTATATGTGCGTAGAGGTGGGGAGTTGTTGTTAAATTGATTGCTTTCCCTCTTCTAATAAATCTGATGACCATCACCACTGCTATTTGTATATGTTTATTCATGAAAACCTATGCAAAGGCTTTCTAGGTCCACAAAGACCCCATAAAAGTAAAGTTGTCTCCCGGATTTTGACGTGGTCAAATAGCAGATTGTTTTGAAATGTCAAAATGCATAGTTGATTGAATAACTCGCAATCGAGTCGCTAGTGGTAATTTCATGATTTCACGCGGTCAATTGGCTGATCAGAACCGTTTATATGGAAGTATGTTGTAGAATCGGGACCCAATTGAAGATTCATGTTTCTTTCTTTAATTCTTAAGATCAATCAAGGTAGGAAGCCAGAAACTATAAAACGTCTATGCAAAGCCTACGGTTTTGAACGAACATTGCTGTGTACACTGGTCATTGATTATATAAATTTTTTGATAGGCAGAAAAAAAGGGGAGCGAAACCACCTTGTCATTGTGCTTTGTGATTCCAGATGACATGGTTTTCAAAATCGGACCGGACCGGACGGTCGGACCGGGAAAACTAGGAATGGATCACTTGATCGGTTTCGTTTTTCTTAAAATCTAGATTTTCCTTCAAAACCGTTAATTTTGGTCAGCAAATTATTGAATGGAGTGATTAATCGTTCAAACAATTTTGACTGTTTTTATTTATTTTTTATTTTTCTATCAAAATGGGCCAAGCGTTTGGTTCGAACAGTCGAATCGTTCGACCCGATAAACTAACCCCTGACCGGTTTAGTCACTGGGTCGGTTTTAAAAACCATGCCAGATCAATCCACCGACTTCGGCTTTCCCAGTTTGCCCCTTAACCGCTCCATTGATATTTACTTCAACAGTTCAACCCAACTAACAGGTTGTAGGTTCCATTTATCTGCAGTGCCAATTTCATTTGCATTGGTGTAAGTGCATAGTAGTGCAAATGGAATAAGCGTACATGCTGATTTACTTTTGCCTCGGATTTGACCTTGTTTTATATGTTTGTAAAAAGTAAAATAGAATGTGAAATGATGTGGTCCCCAATTTATATAAAAGAGAAATGAAACTGGAGGAAAGTTTTTTGGTGCGTCTTTTCATATAGTTTTTTGGTTATTTATAATCGTAGACGGTGCTATGGTCATTTTCCATTTGGTTTGTAATAGATTTAACGTCAAAGTTGGTGTGTTGAAAAGATGCGAGAAGTTTATTTTGGGCTGATTTTGGAAAGTTCCAAAATAAAGTTTTTTGCATTTTTTTCGCTTTATTCTCACATGGAAAGACATGAAAAGATGTACAAAAAAACGTGCATTAGCCAAAATTAGCTTTGAGCTGCTCAGATATTCATACAAAAGTTCAATATGCCTTTTAACTGTTAAAGCTACTAAAGATCTTTCTCAAAAAAACTTATCAAATGACCCTGTCGTAGAATTAATATGTTACTAGTGGATTCATGTGGTGAAGTGACGTTCCCTACTTGACTTAACTAATAAATTTTGGACGGGTATGTAAGTGAGTTGCCATTAGCTAAGTTTATCACATAACTCAAAGGAAGAAGAATGGGTAGGTTGGTGGGTCATAGAAAGTTTCCTGTGCCCTCACATTAAGATTTTACATCTGCGCCCCACAAGTGCCCCACAATACATCACGATTGTGTATTGGGAACAATTCGGAAATATGCTTCCAATACACGGTCGTAATGTGTTGTGGAATACTTGTGGGACGCCCTTTTTGAGATGCAGATGTGAATTCTTATATTAATGATATAAACATTGACCATATAGTGTTGATCTTTTCTAGGGATAGATTGAAGTTGAACTCGATTGTGAGCATTGGTAAGTTTGTGCCTTTTTTCTATCACCAGCTTCTTATAGGGTTAGTCATTGAGTACTCATGCGACACCCAAATATGTTAAGTAAGCTTGTAAAATAAAGCAACAACGTAGTAAAGGCAATATAGATATACATGAATTAAGTACAAGTATACAATTGACATGTCAAGGGGCTAGGTTTAACTTTAATTTATATCTTAATTAGTTCTCTCCTGATTACTTACATCCCCTAAAGAGTATGTTAAGTATTTGGGGATCTGACAAAATAATACATTAAAGTGTTTGAATCATACTCATAATTACAATTATGCCATTAGAATATATAAAAGATAGACAATGCCCCATCGCACCACCTAAGACACATGTGGTGATTAGACCTGTTCATGGGTTGGGCCGGGCTTTGACTTTTTATTAACAGAAAACTGTTAGGCCCGAGTCTGAGCCCGACCCGACCAACGGGCCTATAACTTGGGTCCGATTTCGAGCCCGAGCCCGAAGTCCGACCTAATAAAAGAAATTCAAAATTTTTCCTATTCAAATGGACATTTTTTATTTTAATTTAGATGTTTTTCCCCTATTTAAATGAACAATGAGCCTACAAGTGAATCAATAACCTTTTCAAATCAAAAAATTTATTTAAATAAACATCACATAGGGTTTTTACTTAGGTTTAACTATAGGTCGGGCCGGGCTATTTTGGCAAAGCCCGAACCCGGCTCGAATTTTATGTGGGCCGGGCTTTTTGGCCCGAGATTAAGCCCGCGGGCCAAAAAACTTGTTCAAGCCCGTATGGGGGTTGGGCCAGGCCGGGCCGGCCTGTCGGGCCACCCGGCCCATGAACAGGTCTAGTGGTGACACTTGAAGACACTCTAACGGCGTGGTTGATGAAACTCACTGTGACGGTCTCCCCCACTCATTTTGATATACACGTTTGAAGGTCTAGTTCGCGTGATCCTTTGTCTTGAAGTTGAAAGATAAGGTTTTTGATTGGTTATGTGTCAAGTTAAGGCTAATATACCTAGAAGTTTTAATTTGCTTATGTGTCAAGTTAAGGCTAGATTTCGGACAAAAGGAGATTTTGGCTTGTTGGGGTGTTGATTCCCATAAAATGTTCCGCAAGGTTGTCTCCTCGCAAGGCTACCCAAATTGGTATGGTTGTTATTGGAGATGGCCTAGGGTCTTGCTCGAGTCTCTACAATGCGATAATTGATGTTGGACTCCTATTATCGCTTGAACAACACGGATGGTGATTGCCTCTTCTAGATGGCTGCCCGATCCATATCCATGATGTGATAGTTGATGAGGTTTCTAGAGTGGGGATCTTCTTTGTTATTGACTCCGGGTGTGTCTTATTCCTTGTAAAAGACAAACTAGTCCAGCGGTACAATAGATAAGTCGATCTTCTCCTTCCTCGGCTTAACCTAGAGTTCCACCCCATAGGCCGTGCCTTTTATTGCCTTGAACTAGAGTTGGCAACTTTGAGTCACCCTAATTTCTTAGAGGTGGTCAAGTTAAGTCACCTTACCTGAGCAAGTGAAACGAAGTTATGTGTGACCTTATATATGTCTATTAGGACCTGAGTTGATTTCCTGCCAAGTGTGATATGCACAAACTTCAATCCCTTTTGGGCTTTCTTAGGCCATTTAAGTATGACCTCTTTCTTTAGCATGACGCCTTTAGTCTTTGTGTGGGTTTTAAGTCATCGCTCTTTTTCATCATTACTGAGTTTAGCAATAAGGGCATTGATTTTCTTCCTTGTGGGGTTGTCTTTTGTCTAATGTATTTCATTACAATGAAGCAAGGTGAAGGAGTTGTAGGTCTCTTACTATATATACTTGTAGTATTGGGAGTTATATGCTTCTTGTGGCTTCTTCCTTTCTTGGTGATTGTACTAGTTGGGGTAGGGCTACTTTGCTTGAGTGTAATTTGATTGTCAATCTTCGCCATTCAAATTAGTGGTATGTGAGCTGGTTGGCTTATAATCTTTCTCATCAGGCTTCCTTAGACTAATAAGTTGCTCATCCACGATCATGGCCATTGCAAGATCCTTTACTACTCACCATTATAGTTCAAACTCGACTCAGGGTGAAAACTATCCATAAAGTTGTATAGGAGATTCTTGTTAGACATGTCGGTGATCTCGAGCAGTAAGGATGAGAGTTCTTTGATGTAGTCGTGTAGTAAGTCCCTGTGTTTAAGTCTCTTCATCTTCCTTTGAACAAGATACTCAAAATTCTCAAGGTAAATTTTCATTTAATCTCATGTTTGAAATTAATCCAGATGTTGAAGATGCATGTGCTACACTCATGTCTTCGCAACACCTACCACCATAATATTGCATTATCAGTCAAATACATGGTGGTCTTACATATTTGTGTTTTATCATCATTAACATCAATGGTAGAAACATATTGTTCTAATTGCCACAAGTTGTCAAGCTCCTAGGCATCTCAAGCACTTGAGTACAATGTTGGTTGTTGTATCTTGATGTGTCTAGGCGTTGAAGCTGATGGGGTATAAGTAGAGTTTGCCTATTCCATTTTCACCTTGTCCAATTGAGCTTAAAATTTGTTCACCATGTCTTGAAGGTTGGTTTGGGAAGAGCTAACATCTAAATGTTGTAAGGTGTCATGGATCTTCCTAAGACCTCTATCTAGGTGACCTTCCAGTTCCACCACTACACTCAATAGTCTCTATGTTGAGATGGAGTTCTAGTTGAGTTTCACCAATGATTAGTTAGCTCTCAATATAAGACACACCTGTCCGTGGCAGTCGGTTTATCAACTGATTTATCTTGCTTTCTTTCATTAGTTCTTAGGCCATTCAGGGCTTATTCTTTAATTGTATCATCTTCCAATCCATCATTGGTCTCGTGAGCTTAGGATGAGAGTCCCAATTTTATTTCTTGTGAGATCCCCCTATTGCTTTTCTTTGTGTTACATTGGTTTAGGGACGACCGACAACGTCCAAAATGTGTTGATGAGCTCCTTTGATATCAATTGTCACAGGATTAGTCATTGAGGCCCAATGTGGCATTTGAGTGTATCGAGTAAGCCTATGAAATAAAGCAATAAAGATGCATGCTATATGAATTAATAAAAGACGCTTTGTATTTTTTGATGAATTAAGTGTAGGTACACAGTAAATGGTTGGGGGTTCTTAATTTTTACACGTTGGTTCCCTTTTGACTATCCACGTTGGTTCCAAAACACGTGGTGTCACACTTGATGGCATGGTTGATGAAGTCGACTACCAGTTAATATCTTATGCAAACAGAATTGACACCACTTCCCTCTAAGTGTTTATAGCCTGTACATCAATTTTTATATGAACTATGCAAATTATCGTTTTGAAGCTATGGTTGCAGTGCAATTTTATTTGTATTAGTACGAATGAATGAATGTGCAAATGAAAAAAAAAATACAAATTCTCATTTAATTTTGTTTGGGGGTTTACTTTATTCTGCTCCATATCTTAATTTACTTCATTTATACTGTAATCAAATAAAATAAACTAGAATTTGAAACAAAAAATAGGTCAGAATATACACTCAAATCATTTGCACTGCTATAGTTTTGCAGCAGTGCAAATTTATTTGCATTGCAACCAAATACAGCCTCGTGTAAGCACAAACAAGCCTATACTGCCGAACAAAAGCCCACAAACTACAACATACCTTATTTGATAGCTTAAGCGTTGGGCCAAAGCTGTCCTGCAATCGATCAAATGAGGCAAGCGTATTTAGAGTACGGTTGGCAAGCTGATTAAACAGAATTCCATCAATTGAATTATAGGTTCACTGTTCTTGTTTTTCTGTAATTCTGTAATCGATGGTATGGAAATCAACATAGCATAACATCGTAATTCATCTTTTGTAATACATTCCTCACTCAACTCGAGATTCGGATCGAGTGCCTTCAACCTTCACCCAATCTTTCCTTGACCACCTGTGATATATTGATCCGCGGCCTGAAGTGTATGTGTAGCTTGAGAAAACGAAATTCCTTTTTCCTTTTTTTTCCGCCAACAATTTCCTTTTGCCATCAAATTATCAGACATCACATAAATAACCGGCGACATACACGGATTATTAAGTAGTTAAGTTGAATTTCCATAAAGCCTAGATTCATATATATAACAATTTGGTTTAGCTAGATAAAACAAAACAAAAAGAAAAGTTAAACCCCATCATCGTAAGGAAATGAAGTTGACTCCAGCCACTCGTCTCCGGTAATGAACTCTGACACGGTGAAATTCCGGGCGTCGTTATAATTCATTATGTGGTAGCCTGGCCAGGTAACCCGACCGTCCGCGAGCGAGCCAGGCCCATTATTATCGTACTCTCCATAATACAATGTATCCAACCCCTGATTGCCGGACCACTCTTTCCACCCTCTGGCGTCAATGAGATTGTCAATATAAGATTCCATGTAGACCGTCCTCGAGTATATTCTCCATGGCCTCCCCAAGTAACTCTTGACAGAAGCAATATTGGAGTAGAGGTCGTCGGATGCAAGAACAGAACAGTTCTGTATGGAGATGCCGGTATCCTCTTCCGGGGTGTCTCTAGACTGAGCTGTGATCACATTGAACTGGTCCGGCATAGGCAGCTTTGCTATAATGTTACACTCTTGGAACACAACAGCGGCATTTCCAAAGATAAAATCCACTGTGCCGTATATGTCACATTCTCTGTAGAATTGTCGAAAGGAGTGTACGTACAAGGTGTCTTGGTACCCATCGATCGCACACCGATACACCGCACTCAAGTCGGCGTTCACTCTCAAGGCAACGGCTTGGTGTTTTTCCGGTCCGGCCGTGTTCTCGAATTTTATGTCACGCGCCAGAAACCCATCGCCGGAGACGGCTGAAATGAAGAATAAACAAGGGAAAGATTAAGACAGGATTGTATAAATTTCATTGGTAGTAGTGCATTGAAAAAAACAAAAAAAAAAAAGAGTAGTTGTGCAATACACCCATTAATTAACATGTACTGAGACAGAGCCAGAGAGTACTATTTCTGATTTTCCAGTTCCAAAAACTGGTCCAGTGACAGTGAGGACTTGCGTCATTGCATGGCACTCCCCCGAACCCGTCCAACCATAACTATTAAACCGATGGACCCACTCAGGATATATCACATGATCCATCAGATTTTCAACTTGTAATTCCATCATCACGCCTAGCTATGCCATCTCTCGGATCTCGGCGATAATCAAATAGCACCAAATTATATTACATGCAATGCAATTTATTTATTCTAGCTTTCACGTGTAGTCTCGCAATTGTACTCCACACCCATTTTAAAAAGTATAATTTTTGTGTTTTCATCACAATTATCAACCAAGATATTATTATTTTCATACTAGTCGTCTGAATGCAAATTAAAGGCCATGCAAGGGTCCGCAGGGTGGTGAATGGTGAAAACTGAAAAAGACAGAGTGTACTGACAGACTGATATGACGCTGGAAGACAAGAAACCGGCCAAGCACATGAGCATTGTTCAGAAGAAAGTTATCAAAATTTAGGAAAGTAAAGGCAAAAAAGAGAACCGACAAGAAAGACATGTTAACTCACCAACGGTTGCAGACCTGAAAGTAGTCCAGCCATCACCCACGCTTCTGTTACCGGTGATAATGGTGACGTCTGCTCCATCCCCCAACAACACAATGTTGGTCTTATAGCTTGGGATATCCAAGTTTTCCTGGTAAATCCCTGCCCTAATGTAGATAATCGTTCTATCGTAGCTGGTGTTTGGAGCGAAATTAACGGCGTCCGTGATGGTGGTGAAGTTTCCGCTCCCGTCTTTGGCCACCGTAAGCACGTCATTTGGATTATAGTCACCATCGAAGCTCTGTAATATCCGACGATCTTTCCTGGACACCCACGCCGGAAAACCCATGAGACGACGGTTAGAACCTTCCGTCACTTTTCTGAGCTCCTGCTTCGGCAACATTGAAAGTGAATTACTAATGTGTCTATAGACACTGGTTATGGACTGGACTATAACTGACTTGAGAGGACCCGTCGCAGAATCAAGGCCTTCCAAACAAGTGTTTTTGTTGGTGAGAGACGCACTGAGGAATGCTCTAGCGTCGGATAGTTTCCGGGCGTCACCAGAACGAATTCGGGACAAGGATCTCTGTAGAGAACTCATTGTAATTTGGTGCAATTCCTTGCAATCTTGGATGGCTCCTTTTTGCTTTTCGACGACCCCCAAGCTTCCAATATTCAGGAAGAGATCCAAGAGCTTGTCGGCTTCGAAGATTGCAGTTTGGAGGGATTGAAGAGCGTAACCAATTATGTTCGGTTTGATATTTATTGAAATAGATGGCTTCAGTGAATCGAAGCAGGCATCTGGGTATGGTGTGGATTTGCAAAAGGATCTTATAGAAGCCAAATGAGCATCTAAAGTAGTATCAGTAGCAGAAGAAAAAGAGGATGAATTAACAGCCCATGGTCGAACAATAAAGATTGTAGAGAGGAGTAGAAATGTTCTCAGAAGGGTGGAAGCCATGAAAATGGCTAGGAGCTTGGGAAGTTTTTGAGCGAATGGGGGAAGAAATGGCAAGTTGATGAATGTATTTAAAATGAGAACTTTCTTTGGGAGCATAAAATTGCATGGAATTGGTTAACCAACCAAAATAATAAGAACATAGATTACATGGTTTTCGATGATGGGCTTATTTAATCTTTTTAATTTCTGAGATGAAAACAGGTAAGATCCATGCTTCTGGACCGCTACCATTTCAGATATTTATGATTTTACTTTCAAAAGTTCTCCGCAAGAGCTAGAGAATTAGTGCTTAATTGCCTATTGACGTTAGCTAGGGTGGGTTAAAGCCCACATACACAGCGTTATGTTTGGTGAAAGTGAAACATCCATAGAGCCGAATTGGCTGTCGATAAGCTATTGAAGATCACTTCAGCCTCTTTGATCAGCTTATTTAGAGGGCTAGACTTTTGGTAAAGCTAAAAGCACGACTTCAAAGCCTTCGGTGTGTTGCTGTGGCCCTTGATGAAGTGATGTAGTGCTAGGGATAACAAAGGTCATGATTCACAGCAGATCGTAGCAAAAGTACTGAACGAGTCCAGCCGGATCTATTGAGCACAAGAGGCTGTGCACAGGATCTACCAGCCGCACATAGTGGGACATCTCTTGTCATTCACGGGGAGATGTTTCATTGTGTTTTTTGTCCTGTAGCCGGCATTTTGTGGTCGGCAGAACCGAGCTCAAAGTGAATTACTCCATCAGAGTGCTTGTCAAGATTATCTGATCTCTCTGCTATGCAGTTGTCCATGAAATATTTTATATACAGCTAAAGCTGTATCTTCAATTCACCCTTCCAGAGAGGCCCTTAAATCCTCAACGGAATCTGAGCACAAAGATTTTAATGGACCCTACGGCAAGTGGACAACGGAATGGCTTTTAACTATGCTTAGTCCATTTGGGAGGACTTAAGCAAAAAAAATCAATTTATTAGTTCAATGAAAATGTGCTAAAAAAACAGTTACTCTAGTGTAAGAGCTCTGGCTGAAACCGTGAAAGGGCCCTTGATGTACTGATGTATGTGGTCCACCTTGAATTGGATGAAGTAACATAAAGTGGGGTCAAGGAAAAGCAACGAAGGCTGTGACCCATCTTATAAAGCTAGAAGCGGCTGTGTAAAAGCCCTCCCAACCATTGATTCTGTCAATTCGGGTTCCTACCACAACCCTCTTTCTTCTCAGATATACTGATTTTATGACATGGATTCGAGATATTACAATTTTCTTCATATTATTGCAGCTATGCCATAATCTTGTAACAAATGAAACCAACGTCAGTGCAAATAATTGCTTTCGTAGATCCCCTGAATATATGTTGGGTTTTCAGGACAGGGGTTGTGAATAACCGCAACCAAAAGAATATGAAGACGAACAATAGTGAATATAAACAAAAAAAGAAAAAAAGAAAACTGAGAAATAAAAGAAACCCTAGAAAAGGGATTGTGTACACTCAGCTGCTCCACCGGTGGTTAAGCATTCGTCGGTCAGAGTACAAGTTGAAACCCCAGAAGAAAATGGAGGAAAATATAAGGAAGAACCAAATTGGAACCCTATAAAATCAATCTAGGAAGAGTGAAAGCTCATATTTGTGACAATGAACAAAAAAGCAAAATAAAAGGCATGATTTGAGACCCTGAATATACCCGGTGCAGCAGTTGGGCAGTGTGTCAAGTTACTTGATTCGTTCAAGAGGAAGAACTGAAATAAGATAGATTTAGGTTACGTAATTTTTTTTTTAAATTATTCATGGGTATTTTAAACTTTGGGCCAGATTTGAAAATGCATTTCAAATCATCCGTTTAGATATAAATTCAAATACATCTAACATCTGAAAAGCAAGTTTTTCATACATTAGACATCTGAAAATTACTATCAAACACCAGCTAAATGGTGATTATGCATACAAAGTTTTTTGTTTGGATAAGGTTAATTAAGCTACATTTTATTCATAAAGAAAGATGCAAGAATAGGACAAATTATAAGGCGGTGTGGTTATAATAATATTTTCAAATGCAGCATAATTGTATCCAACATGCCAATAAAAATAACATTACTTTTAACAAAACAAAAAGTAAAATAAAATAAAATGAATTAAAAAGAAACTGAACCCTATTGGAAATGATTTGCATGTTTGAACGTTTTGGGGTCAATTCTCAATTGTCTAACAATCACCTTAAGTAAGCTGCGTTTTAGGGGTAAATTCAATTTTACACCGACGGAAAAATGTGACCTGGTTTAGTGATCAATGGAAAATAGAATCAGGGTGTTTTGAAGATTTCCTCTCATACTGTTTGATTGTTACAATGTAAAAGTGAATGAGTTCAGACTCCTTTATTCTGAAACTCTCTTTACTGTCGAACCCAGTTATGTTGTCCAATCCATTAATGACCCAATTAGATAGAATTAAATGGGTTAAGTTCAACCCAAAGATAAAGAGAAAGGGAATAAGAAAAGATAAAGATGAAGCAGGTTAGTTGGATTACATGTTTTTTTGAAGTCTAGACTGCCGTTAAAGTTTGGAATCGGTTAATTTTCAAATTTGGGAAAAAATACGTGGTTGATTATTATTGGTAGGGACAGTTGATGTGAGCTCAAGTAAAAAAGCCAAAGCCAAATTCTTTTTAAATGTATTAAATATTAACTAGTGGAGACCCGTGCGATGCACGGTATTTATTAAGCGAAAGCTAAATAATATAAAGAGTCATTTACTAAAATATCTCTTATAGTTTCTTGAACTTGCTAAAATCTACCTGATGAGGGCGGATTTGGCCCTCCACTAACATTGTGACACCTAGCACCTCATGCCAACTAAGTGCAGCCTCTTGACAGGTAGACAGCTCAAGCTCACCACAGGTAGTTCACCACTAGGCAGTTTGCCATCATGCAGCCCTCACAGGCAGCTTGCCACTAGGCAGCTCGCCATTATGTAGCCTGACACCTCAGAACAACTAGGCGACACCCAGGACCACTTTGACAACAACTTACCTTTGCTAAGTTGATGGTGTCCCACTAGGCGCGACTTGGTGGCCTGACCCTGGCGCGACCTGACCTTGGCACTGACCTAGCGGCCTGACACAGGCGCCAACCTGAAAACCTTGAGGAACACACCTTTGTACCCCGCATTTTACGGGATTGTGACTTGTAATAGCTATATTATCTCACCCACTCCCTGAGTCAGGTGGAAGTGGGCAACCTTACCAGTTGGTGGCTTTTTCCCCACCTAACACGAAAGCAGGTCCCATCACAGCGGGAATCCAGGAACTGCTCCACCTAACCCACGATGACTCCAGTATATAAAGACCTCACCCCCTAGAGGCAAGGGGTGATAAGAGATGATGGGTAACCTCTGTTCTCTATCTCTCTCATTCTCTAATATCATTCTTAGCTCTCCACTAAGTGCTAACTTAGCCATCGGAGTGGCCTCGCCGGGTAAACGCCCCCGGGTTCTCAGATTTAGTTTTCGCAGGTCCCGTAGCTTACAAAGATGAGCAGATCACCTCCAAGCAGCTCATCAAGGTAGCTCACCACCAGGCAGCTCATCAAGGTAGCTCAACTCCAAGTAGCTCATCAAGGTAGCTCACCACCACGCAGCTCATCAAGGTAGCTCACCCCCAGGCAGCTCGCCACTCGGGAGCTCCACTTCAGCCTCTGAGTCACCGACCACATGGGAGCAGACGAGATGACGAGGTACTTAGCCAGAAAATTGATACATCACGAAAAAATGATATGTGACCGAAACCGGTTACACCACTACCCTATAGTTAGCATTTTACTAAAACACCACTTATAATTTGCAATGGATTTAATCAATCTTCCATTAAATAACAATGGAAAATGATAGTGTTGACTCTTGATCTTAATGTTCATTTAAATAAATTTAATCAAAAGAAAATAAAAATAAAAATACCACTTTTACCCTAGGCAACTACTCTATTGGTTATATTTGGTCAATTTTGTTTTCTGTACAAAAAGTGTTAAAGGTATTTTTGGAATAAAAAATCATGGGCCCAATGGCAAAACAAACACTCCTTAATGAAAGGTTGTTTAAGTAAATAAGTTGTAAAATATATGAGAATAAAAACTATAAGGTAGGTTTAAGTAAATATGTAAAACTATAACGTGTATTCTAGTAAATGACCCTAATAGAAACACATAAGAGTATACAATTGTTTTATATTTTCAACTTTTTAAATAATTAATAATTATTCATATTTTCTATACTACTTTTAATAATTTTTTTATAATACAAAAATAACAATAATTAATTTCAGTTAGGTTTATTCATCAAACTAATGAAATTGACCAACCTAATCAACTCGACCCGAGTTGGTCAGTTTTCTAATATTTTAGGTTGGCTTTGGTTCAAAATTTCCCAATTGGACTAAGTTGGATCAGTTTAACTTTAGCCATTTGTAAAGCAACCAAAATCGAACAACCTAACTATGGATATATATATTAATATTTTATATTTTAAATATAATTCTTAATATGGAAAAGTGCGAAATTTCCCATATATATTTCTTAGTCTAAAATGAGTTATATCATAAATCTAATTTTTAAATTTAAATTTTAATAATTGTACTATAATTTTTAAAATTAAATTAAATTTTTTATTTTAAATCTTTTGAACTGATTAACCAAACCAAACCAATACAACTTGAGTGGATTGGTTATTACAAATGGTCAGTCGGTTTCAATTGACCAACTCCCCAACCTTACCCGGTCATTTGGTTGGCCAAATAGCCTATGACCGAAACGAACCAACTCATGAACACTCATACTTTCAACTAAATTAATAGTCTCATCTTTGATAAATAACAATAATTTAATCTCCAATAATTATTGAAAATTTATAGCAAAAATACACAATTATTGGAATTATATTGATAAGGAAAAAATACACTAATTACAAAAAAAGAATAAATACTAAAAATATATTAACTTAGTCAATAAATAGTATAATCTCAAATAATAGTTTAATCTCTAATAAATATTAATCAATAAGTTATAACAAAAATACAATAAACATGGTTTTCAAAACCGGACAGGACTAGACGGTCGGGCCGGAAAAACCAGGAACCAATCACTTGACTTTAAAATATAATAAATATTTTAAAGTTGTTTTATAATTTTGTTAGAATATTTAAATAATTCTTAAATTTTTTTAATCTAAACTTTCTCTAGATAGATATAGATAAAAACTAGGGGAGAGGATAAATAGAAATTAGAGATAATTTAGGAGAGAAATTCTCTACTAAATTAGAGATAACTTGAACTAGAGATAATTTATAAGATAAACTAGCAGGGACCCGTGATGCACGGGAAAAATCTGAAAGATTTAATAATTTTATTTTCTATTTAATTTTGACGTATAAAAAATAATTATTATTAATTGTATATGAATAAATATTTTTTAATAAATTTAGTTTTATTAATAATTTGTAGTAATTTTAATAATTTTTATTCTTTTTATTATTATTAAAATAAATTTTGATTACTTTTAAAATAAATAAAAATAATTATAAAAGATAACATTTTTATTAATTCCACTAATAATTAATAATTATATAGGAATGACAATGGGGTGGATTCAGGGTAGGGCACCCCATCCCCACCCTATCCCTAGTGTCACGTAGGTTTAGGGCAAGGTAACCACTCCTTATGGTCGAGCGAGTTCAGGGACAAGGCACCCCACTCCTCATCAAGGATGGAGAGTCCTCGAATTTTCCTGCCCCGTCCCCAGTATTGGGCGGGTTCAAGTAGAGGTGTAAATGGGGTTGTGCTGGGTTGGCACAACACGACCCGCATGTGGCCCGCACAAAGTGCGAGTCGTGTCGTGCTGGCCCATGAGGCGTCTTGGGTCGTGCCTCCTTCCTCTAGGATAATTTGGGGGGTCGATTCAGCATGGCCCATGACTCAAGCCCACACGGGCACGTGCCATGTCGTGGGTCGGGCTGGTTGATGGGTCAGTCATTGGGCCAGGCCATGCCGCACACCAAGACAATCTCAAGGCAAGGCACCCACTCCCCGTCCAAGGTTTTTAGAATTGGACCGGATAGGGAACCGTTACGGGGTCAAACGGTCTGCTTGTCAAACGGATGACCCGCTCTAACAAAAAAAAAATTGAAAAACAAAAAAGGGCAAAAAATTGTTGTCCGGGTTGATAGTTCAACCGCTTAGGTCAGTAGTTCGCTAACCAAATAAACGGTTTTTGGACAAAAAGAGATTTTGAGGACAAAAAGAGAAATTGTTGTCCGGGTTGATAGTTCAACCACTTTACACTCTAAAGCATGCAATATATTCGCGCGGCTGCAATATATATATATATATATAGATAGATAGATAGATAAATAGATAGATAGATAGATAGATAGGTAGGAATTAGAGATAATTTTGGAGAAAGAAGGGGATAGTGGGGGAGGTAGATAGTTTAAGAGATATTTTAGGAGAAGAGATTATTTAGGCTATTGGGAAAGTGTATCTCATTGGTTGTCTTGAAAATGACATGGAATAAAAAAATAAAAAAAGGGGAATTTTTCTTGACCACTTTGTTTTAATATATATAGCCGCGCGAATATATTGCATGCTTTAGAGTGTAAAGTGGGTCGTGCCAGCGCAAAGTGTGGGCCGTCAGGCCCATGTCGGCCTGACATGGCCATCATGGGCCCGCGCCGTACGGTGGGCCTGGGCCAAGCCGGGCTGGGCCACAGGGCAGGCCTTGAGCCTGGGCCGAATCGGGCTAGATTGATTGTTTTGACTTTTTTTGTTTTTTTTGTTTTTGAAAATTTTGATTTCTTTTTTCTAAATAAAAGTGTAAAACTAAAATATTTAACTTTCTTGTGAACTTTTGGGAACTATTTGAAAAATTAAGAAATGAGATATGAGGAATCTAACACATAAATGAAAAAAAAAAACTTAACCAAATTAGAATGAAGGAATAACAAATACAATCATTGGATACTTGGATGGATGAAATATGATATTGGAATAAATTAATAAAATATAAAAAATACAATATAATAACAAATTGAAAATACAAAATTACATTGTTAAAAAAAATAGCAAATAAATTAAAACAAAATTTATAATAATTTAAAAAAAAATAAAAATTCAATACAACTAGTCAACTTCATGAATCATGACTTTCATCATCTGCTTCTGGTGAAAGATCCGATGTACTATCATGTCCTCCTTTGTCTTGTAATCTATCTTCTGCATCTAGACAATCCTTAAAGCAGATGCACATCTTTATACTTTCATCGTTCATGCAGCTTCTCTTGTCATTCAACACCCTAGTACCTGCACTAAAACAAGACTCTGATGGAAATGTAGACACTGGAGGGGTTAGTAGATCACATGCCACGACCGCGAGAACTAAATAATTTTTTTGAATGTTCACTCCACCAGGCTAAAATATCAAAATTATTTGATCTCTCGCCTAAACTAGAAAAATTTGCTTGTAAATAAAAATTAAGTCCAGTAAATGAACGTATTGTAGAAATAGCAGATTTCTGCCTTCTACTTGTTGAATAAAAAATTTTTTCTCTTCCACTACTAGGCTCAAGGTCAGAAATAGAAGATGTTGTACAAGTTGTAGGAATATTTCCTACTGCTTCAGATTCACAAAAATTGTACATTTCAAATAATAAATTAATAATTTCTTCCTTTTTATTTCCAATTTCAATTTTCTTATTTTCACAATATGTTTTAAGTAAAATATCTAAACAATCTTTCCTAATCCTAGGATCTAATATTGTAGCCAAACAATAAAGGGACAAATGTTCTCCCAATATTTTTTAAATTTATTTTCCATTATTTCAACAATACATTTAAATTGTGGATTATTTTATATTTTCCAAAACAATCACTAATAACCATTAATTGATAAGGTAAATTACAACTTGTTGGATAATAAAATACTTGATAATTCATTAGTTGCATCATAAAAGTGTTTTAAAAAATCTCTTATACAAACTGTCATTTCCCAATCTTCCTCAAATATAATATCATTAGGCATTTTTGCATTATAAAAATTAGTAAGAATTTTTTTATGAGAAATTCAACTTTCTAACATAGCATAGTTAGAATTCAATCTATGTTTTACATTTAATATAAAATGTTTATATTTTAAACCATAATTAAGTTATAAATATTTAAATTCTTCTTTTCTTGCCCCTAAACTTTTAATATATATAATACAATTTCTAATTTTAGAAATATGGGTAAAAATAATATTCAAAGCATCTTGAATACATAAATTTAAGATGTGACATGCACATCTGATATGAAATAATTTACCATTTAAACATGATTTTAATTGAGATTTTAAAATATTTATTGTAGAATCATTATTGCTGGCATTATCAAAACTAATAAAAAATAATTTATTTTCAATTCCATAAGAATGTAAGGTATTTAAAATGCTTGCAGAAATAGTTGGGCCATTACGTGGCCATTCAAGCCTAGTAAAACTTAAAATTCTTTTATTTAAAAGCCAATTTTCATCAATAAAATGACCAATAACACAAATATAACTTATGTTAAATTTAGATGTCCAAACATCATAAGTAATTGCAACTTCAGAATTAAAATTTGATAATAGATAAATTAAATTTTGTTTATTTGAATAAAAAAATTTAAAGCATTTGGTCTAATAGTATTCATAGAAACTTTTTTATATTGTGGATTTACAGAATTACACAACCATTTTTCAAGCTTAGTATTTTCAGCTAATAAAAATTGTTGTTTTGCATGTACAATGTATTTTGCTAATTCTTGTCTCATTTTTTCTTGTGAATATTTAAATGTACCAAAAACCCCCTCCCAATTTGTGTTTGTGTTGTTTCTCTCCCTTCTTTTTCTTCCTTCTCATGTGTGAGCTAATGTCTGTTCAAGTGGCCAGTACCACCTTGGTACAATAGGTAAAGTCTTTTCTACATTTTGGCAAACTATTATTTTTCCCTTACCCTCAATATCCTCTACTTTAAATATTTTCCAAACCGGGCTACTCAACTTAGAGGCCCTCTTTTTCTTTCCCCTAGTATCAATAGTAGGGGTTAAAGTTTCACTTCCATCAATATCAATAGAATTAGCGCTAACACTATCATGATGCGATTGAATATCATCAAGAGTGAACATGTTGGGGAATTGGTTTTGGGAAGATGGTGATTTTCTTTAAATTCTAAAAAAATAAAAATTAATTTAATTGGACTTACTCGGATTACCGGTTCAGAATCCCGACTTGATTTCAATAGTTAAAGTCTTTCAACGTCTAAGCCTCCCAAATTGCTTACTTGAGATATTTGAGCTAGTTGAGCAAGCCTTCTTGTTGAAACTTCAATAAAGTTGAGAATTGGAGAATGAAACAATTAGCCCATCAGAATTCACTCAGATGGTAGAGAATGTATGAGGGACAGAGAGAGATTGAATTAAGAGAATTGTTGAATTGATGTAATGAGAATGGTGGAGGATAGGGTTATTTATAGGAATTGAAAATAATTCAATTGCCCAAAATACCTTAAAAACTAGTTGTTTTTTAGTTGTTGGGAGGGGTAATTTGGTCATTGTAATATTATTTTATAACTTTACCCAAAAGCCCTCCAAAACTAGTTATATAGTTGTTGGGGGGCATTTGTGTCATTTTTCTCCCCTCTATAAACAAAATACATAAATACCCCCCTATATAGCTGTTAGGGGGTATTTACGTAAAAAAAAACCCCAAAAAGCTGAAACTAGTCGTTAGGGAGTCCCAACGGCTAGTTTCCGAACAGGCCAAGCGTGACCCGCTATGGGCCCTACGGGCCGTGCCGGCCCGTGGACTACGAACTCCCGACCCAACACGACACAGCCCGTAGGTTGTCGTGCCGTGTCGGGCCAGGCCGGTCCAAATTCGTGCCGGGCCGTGCCCCGATTTACACCTCTACCATGTTATTCAAAAAAATAGAATGCACGTATTTTAATAAAAAATAAGTTAAAACTTAGAATATGTTATAAATAATTTTATTTGCTGCACCAAAACCAAGTCAAGCATATGGCTTTATATATAATAGATAGATATTATTTAAATCCGGTGACCCTTGACAATAATGAAGTTTAAATGACCCGCACACTTGTTTTATACTTAGTGTTGGAAGTGCAAAAGAAACATGGAAAAGCCATCAGAGACCGGCGGAGAAGGGAAAGCCAGTGGATCCCAACCAATGATCGCCCAAGATAAAATTCTTAACTGTAAACTGCTGAGCCACCGTAGCACTCGTTATCACCTTGTACCCCTTCCACTTAACCCTCTTTGCTGTTGCTGCGCCAGCTCCCGTGTTCCGGTACTCTCCATAATACAAGGTGTTGAGTGCGAAATTCCCGTTCCAGGCGTGCCATCCTTCTGGATGGATGACATCGGTGATGAATGACTGCATGATGACGGTCCTGGAATATTCTTTCCACGGTCTTCCCAGATATGTGGGGAAACTACGCTTGACGGGTTTTAAATCCGAGGTTGCACCTATCCTGCACTTCTGGATAATGATTCCCGTATTCTGGTTTGGATCGTCCCGTCCCTGGGCCGTCACCATGTTCTTCTGTCCGCGGTTGGGTCGACGGGCATGAATATCACAGTTCTGAAAGATGGCCGCGGCATTGCCAAAGATGAAATCCACGGTGCCTACGATCAAGCTATCCACGTAGAATTGACGAAGAGAATGTACGTATAGTGTATCTTGGTAGGCTATTATGTTGCATCGGTAGAATGCTGATTTGTCAGACCCCACACGGAGTGCCACCGCTTGGTCCTTGGACGGTCCGGCCGTGTTTTGGAACGTTATATCCCGAGCCAAGAACCCTTCTCCCACCGCAGCTGCATTGATTTTGAATTTTTTATGCAACGCAAATTCAATACATCACTACTAATACATGTATCCAAATTACTAATACTGGGTACAGATATTTATTTATTAAAAAAAAGGAAAAGAAAATTATTCCCCTATTCACTTTTCATAAGATAATAATATCATAGCGCATGGTTAAAGCGGCCCTGATTTATTACAGCGGCCCCATCAAGCTGGCACCAAGGCGGGGTTTCAGGTGGTGGTGACCGGTGGAAGTGACAAGTCTGAATTGGACAAGTATTTAATTGGGTAATGCTTCAGACTTGCTTGATGAGTCCGAATCCCAGTATCAAATGAATTGGGCTTGAATCGGGTTCCAAAACCAATTAGACCCTTTGATTCTTAATATGAATTCAGATTTGGTTCCCAGATCCTCTTCACAAGCTTTTACAGCCGTGCATGAGCAACATCTCTCTATTTGTATATATTTTTTTTTATGGGGAGATATCTTCTACAAACAAATGTGAGGGCTGTCTTGTGAGTACCAAATCCGGATTTCACTTATCAAGGAATGTAAGAGAGTGCATCCAAGTAAATCCGAATTAGCTGAACTAGATGCTTGTATTGGAGACTATAACCAATAATAATGCCCAATATCAACCATCAAGTGTATACCCCACAATCACTCCAATCTGCATTCAAGGCCTGGAGCGTTATTATTGGTTAAACAGCTCCTAACACAGTCATCGATTGCAGTTAATTCGTACCTCATATAAGAGAATTGATTAGTTGAATTTGATAGCTATTTTACCTAAGTTGTGGGATCAATCATTTTGCTTCACACTAGTCATAGACCATGGGTCATATGTACGGTATAACTGGTATGGTGAGAAATGATTCATTCAGCCAATAAAACAGTCATCACATTAAACTAATCCTTTCTCATATATACCAAGGAGATATTCATTATCATCCTAGACAGGCAGCACACATATTTAGACTGAAATGGGTATCTGATTGGAGAGGGGATCTATTGCAAACAAAAAGCATGCAAACATAACGGGAATACAGTATTTAGTTATATATTAAGCTCAGTGTAGAAGGAATACAAATATAAATATGTACAACACAAATACATATAAAATAATATAAAATATTGTATTTTAACACATAACATGATGTGCAATTATATTGTGTGTTGTAATTTTAAACATACAAGCAGTATTAGGCACCATAAGACTATTGAAGTGGAGACTCCATGTTAAAAAAAAAAATGTCATATTAAACGTTTAAGCTTTTAGGTTGAACCTTCTTAGATATGCTATCAAAACTCCCATGCACAAGGTATGGGTAGGCTGTTAGGTTGTATGATTTCTTGATACCCCCAAAGCTCCCATGCACACCACTGATGTGTTAAAGTCGTTTGAAATTAAATCAGACCAACAACATGATTTGAATACGTTAAAAGGTGCCTACATGATAATTCAGTAGTGTTATGTCGGGTCTCAAGTAATTGATTCTCACCTCCACTTTAAATTGAACATAAAATATATATAAATAAAAAATGAAACAAAGCCCGTAAAGAATATAAAAGTAGAAAATAAGGATAAAATAAAGTGTTAATATAAGGAAGCAACTAGAAGGAGATGTCATCTGTAAAGCACAATTTTTGCTTGTTTTATGCAACAAAGAAGAAAAGAAGGCAAATAAACAACAAGATAAAATGGGAGTTCAGAGGTCCTTACTAGACTAATTTGTGGGCAGGGCTAGGTTGGGGTTGGGCCGGGCTTGTTTCTATATCAACATAAAACGTTTAGGCCCCAGCCAGAGTCTAGCCTAACATCAGGCCTAGGTCTTGAGCCCGAGTCTAGTGCTCATATAAAGCCCAAAGCCCAGGCATGAGACCAAAGCTTGGCTAAAAATTTGGGAAAAAATATATATTTTTTTCTTTTTTTACTTAATAAAAAACTGATTTATTTATATCAAAGGGCCCCAAAACCAAAAAATAATGAAATATCTCATAATAAATTCAAAAAAATGGAAGATAAACAAAGAAAAAATATATTATATATATTATATAAAATATACTTTTTGTTATATGCTATATTATCAAGTCGGATTCATCGATATATGTATATATATGTATAACAAAAATATAGTATATATATAATTAAGGTAGGATCGGGCTCTAGCCAGACCAAAAAAATGTCGGGCTGGTGTTTTGACTTGATTCCAAGCCTGTGAAACTAAATTCATGTAAAAAGATTTTTTTTTCTTTTTCTACTCAATGGAAAATTGATTATTCTATATTAGACCTTAAAACTCAAACATAATAAAAGATCATACTATAACTCGATAAAGAATAGAGAAATAAATAAATATATATATATATATATATATATATATATTATACAAAATATATTATTGAGTCCGTATCATGAATCATGATAGGGCCAGTATTTTTTGAGAAAGCCCAAACTAGGCATGGTATTCATGCCCAAACTAGGCATGGTGTTCATGCCCAAACCTGACTTAGAATGGACCGATCAAGATATGGGGAGATGTTCCCATTGCACGAACAAGATGTGCTTAGGTTGGGCCGTCCAAGTCGCAGCCCTGATCCCTTGGTTAGACGTGATTAAAGGTCATGGCAGAACGATTGTGAAGATGATATTGAGAAAAGACATGGGTCCCCATCTCTTTTGACAAATCAACCAACACTTTTTCCGTAGGTTCGTCCGTGATCAAAGGTACCAACTAGCTCAGTTGGTAAGATATCAAGCTGGTTTATAGAAAATATTTGAGAAGGAATAATTTCCCACTCCAGTCAGGGTTGGAGAGGTTACCAGTTTGGGGATGAGCTGCCCCATGTTGTGGAAGTGGGATTAGCTGAACGCCATGACTGTTCAGCGGGCTGTGGAATCAAATGATAAAGCCCCGCGTCAGTGCACTGACTGTGATAAAACCAAAAAATGTAACAGAATTAATAAGCATCCTTCTTCCTCTTTGTCTATCAAGTCATCAAGAAGAGGTTTCAGTTTCACCTCTACCTCTTCGTCCTTACTCTCCCGTCAATCACGATACCATTTACGCAGATCACGGATTCCATCAGAAGAGAATGGTGGCAATAAAATTTATTGTTTATAAAAAGAAGATAATTCGACTTTTATCTCAACTTGGTCGACAAAATTAACAACTCTACAGAGTGATGCTTGTGCGTATAAGGGTCAATCCACCTCAATTACCAGAAGCAAGCAACTGGTAATTTCCCCCCTTCCTCACCTCTATAAAAACACCACTATTCCATTATTGTTTAACTAGATCAGTCGTCCCTGTTGTTTACTATCGCTAGGTTTACTAGCTAACTAAATTAAGTAGAACCCTCTGTATGGATTATGGAGATATCTAGTCAGAAAGAAAAACTGAAAAGGAACATGCATGATAAGATTCACTAACCAACACTGGCAGAGCGGAAGGTGGTGCTCCCATCAACAACGCTGCGTCTCCCTGTGATAATTGTGTTTATCCTCCCGTCTCCCACCATCATTATATTCGTCTTCTTCTTTGGTACATTGACATTTTCTCTGTAAACTCCCGCCTTTATCCGTATTATATACCTCTTATGGCTCTTCTCCGGTGCCGCTGCCACCGCTTCCGACACTGTCGTATAATGCCCGCTCCCATCCGCCGCCACCGTCACATCCGGTACCAACATTGATGCTTGCAGAAGCTTTCTATCCCCCCACGACAACCACGCTGGAAACTCTTCGCTGCTCTCCTCCACTCGACGTTTCGCCTTGTACTGCTCCTGCGCCATGTCCGTGTCCGTCATGTTCTTGATCATGGCCAGTGCGTTACTGCACATGCGGTACACGTGTTCCTGACCCGCCAGTAGTTTTTTCCTCACATCCTTATCGGCGTTATCGTGCGAGAATCCGTCTATGCACGATTCCTGGTTCGTCATGGCCGCACTGACAAGAATCTTGAGGTCGTCTGCATGCTGGAATATCGACTTCTTGCTACTGGGGTAGTCTTTCAGGTCGTCGGCGGTCTTGTGGAGCTCATCCAGGGTCTCGTCCACCATTTCCAAACAATCGTGCAGTGCCGTCTTCTCTCGCTTCGTCAGATTCTTGCTACCGATGATCTTCTCTATGGTGAAGTAGTTGTGTTCGACAGCGGTGGTTGTGATGTTCAAGGACATCTCAATTATGTCCTTCTGGGTAGAAAGGTTGTCCATCGCACCGGGAACAGTGGCGATTGCGGAGTAGCATAGGTCTGGATATAGTGTGCTACGGCACGAGGATTTGAGGATGGCGTGAGCCAAGGAACCGTTGTCGCTACTGGAGTTCTTGTGCGTGGTCACCCTGGCGATGACGCCAATAACGGTAACAACTAGTAGGAAGGAAGCAAGCAGGACTAATAGGGGTCTCTTGTTTTTGCAAATGCACTTGTCGGAATCTGACGCTCGGGCGAAGAGATCATTAATGCCGAACATTCTTCCAGTAGATGTTTGTGTGGGGGGAGTGTCAGGAACAGGAAGTGCAAACTTGAAAGCTCGACTCGAGCGAAAGGCGGTCTCAGATTTATGGGTGCTCAATACACGTAGAGGGATATGAATATCACAGTTCTGAAAGATGGCTGCGGCGGCATTGCTATAGATGAAATTGGTAATTGGCTGTGCCTGTGGCTACAAGCAAGCAATCCACGTAGAATTGACGAAGAGAATGTACGTACAGTATATCTTGGTAAGGCCGTGGAGTGCCACCGCTTGGTCCTATGGACCCGTCGGTTCACGGGATACATATACCCTCCAGTTAAAATTCGCCACGTCGTTTAATCCCTCCAGTTTTCAAAAACTAACGGAACTCGTTTCCTTAACGGCGGTTCGCCGGTTCCCTTATTTTTGGCGCCAGTTCCTAAAACGTGTCTCTCGAACTCTCTTCCTTCGAATTGGGATTTGCACCTCACAGTCCTGTCCCACCGTGACGGGATCTGCTCCTCACAAATAAGCGCTTCACATGCACATTCACCGTGTATTGAGAACATCTCCCGTAAATAATAATTAATAAGAACAGAAGATGTTGCCAATGAATGATAGGATGAAGAGCTTGTGAGGCGCCAAGTGTGAAGATCAGATCCGGTCTCTGTCCCACCGTGTATTGGGAATGAAAAACAATACCAAGTGCAGGAGATGTTTTTGATGTGCGGTTGAGCATTTGGTTTGTTCAATTTTAAATCAAACCAATTAAATCCAATTGAAACCGAACTATGATAAAACCGAATAAATCAATTTTTTTAGGGGTTTTTATAGTTCAGTCCACCCCTAGGGTGGAACTAAGATTTCTAGGGGTGGACTGAATCCTGCGGATTGATGTTAAATTCACGGGTGGATGTGATTTATAGGGGGGGCAGATTTCTGAGGTGGATTGTAGTCCATTTATCCTATTTTTTTTCGATTATTTCGGTTGTTTCAATTGAAACCTAAATCAGAACATTGTACAAACATCATCAGACATGAAACAACATTCTTACTCAGATAATCCGATGGGTAAGAAAAAAATACAAATGGTAATCACCATTCACTGTGGAAATCAGTAATCATTGTTCAGTAATCTGGTGAATAAGAAAAAAAATCATGGGAAGAATGGAAGAATAAAAAGGGAAAAAAAGAAAAAACAAAGAAAAAAATTATCTTTGCAATCTGTATACTTGAATTGCAAATTTGCCGCTTGTCAGACTGTCACTTGCCGGTGTCGGACAAGAAAGGCCTTCTAGAACAGTGGAGGTACAACCGTGCAAAGTTTGCAAGTGTGCAACTAGGGGTGGCAATTTTTCACCCAACCCACTCAATTCGCCCATTTACTTGGTGGGTTGTGTGATCAACTCATCACCCAACCCACCCATTTAAATGGGTTGGGTTGTGGATAGCCATTGGGTTAACCGTTACAAACATAAATATTAATTCCTTTGCCTTTTTTTAGTTTTCTTCATGTGAATTAATGATTTATAATTAATGCATTAATTTTCTATAAATTATTGACTAAATTTAGTTTTGTCTTGAATCAACACACTTCACCCAACATAAATCCAAATCAAATTGACCCGAGTTCGGACCAGTTCAATGCGGTCTGACCCGATTTAGCAGATATCAATTTGGGTCAACCCGAATCCGAAATAGGCACCGAGCGGGATGGTTCGGTACCGCTTGCTCTGACCGATTTGGGTCGTCCGGTCCAACCAATATTCACACAGTCCGACCCGACCAGTACAAGTCGATCCAAATCGACCCGAATCCGAAATGGTTTCGAGCGGGATGGTTCATTGTCTACGTGCTTTTCCCGGTCTGGACCATTCGGCCGACTAATATCCACACAACCCAACCCGGACCCGGACCGACCCAATTTAATTACGTTGACCCGCTTCGAGTCAGTCGGTTTAGTCCCAAACTTGTGCACAAACCTAATATGGTCTGGTCCTAGTCAATCCACCATTGACTGAACCGGTTCGGTTCGGTCCGACCGGATTGATCCAGATCTAAACGGTTCAACCACCCTTGATGTGATTAGCTTGAAGATAATCCAATTAGATAGTTTAAGTTGGTCTAACCGGTTTGAACCTAAGTGGTTCAGTCAAACCTGAAATCCAAACATAGTAAAATGGCTTTGCCGCTTGTGTAAAAATAACATGCATGTAATGTAATTTGAACCTTCACCACTTGTACAAATAGTAACTACAATTACCACCAAGCTATGACCAACTTATTTGTTAAGAGAGAGTTAGTTTGTTTTCTTAGTCCATAAATATAAGATTAAAGGGTTTGGGCGGGTTGTATTGGGTTAAAGCGAGTTTGGGTTGAACCTAACCCATTTAGTTTTATATAACTGGGTCATTAATGGGTTAGCGGATTAGATTTCTTGTGTTGAAGTTCAACCCAAACCAAACCCAACCCAACCCGCTCAATTGCCACCACTACTTGCAACTAAGGTCGTTGGAGCAGATGAGCAGTGCTGTTAGTGAAGATTGTGAGGTTCACCGCTACATGTCCACAATTGAGATCGTTGACATCATTGCTTTCCCATCGTCGATGCATGGTGTTGGTGAAATGGATAGATGATTGGATTTTTGTCTTTAATGAATGAAGAATTGAAGAACGAAGAGGAGTAGAATTTTAGAAGTAGGACTCCGGATCTCTTGCTCACGATAACTCGACTCCGGATCTCTTATCCATGTCTACCCACAACATACTATTCTCGTGAATTGAGAACATCTCCCCTGCATAATACTATGTAGGAGGATGGGATGTTCTCTATGTGTGGCTGCAATGTTGTGTGGGTACCTTGCCGCCCTAAGATTTTTCCCTTTTGGATTTACTTTACTATCTTATATATTTAATTATTTATTACTTTACCCCGAATAATTCAGTTTATTCGGTTAACCAAACCTCTAATTGCTGTATCCGAAACCGAAAACCAAAATAAACACCGAAACCACCCCCAAAATAATCAAATAAAAAAACACGAAAACCGAAATTTCAGTTCAATTATTCGATTTCAACTGAACTATGCTCACCCCTAGTGAACAGGGTTATACCCTTCAATCAACTTGTAGCCAAAGTAATTGGCCACCGGCAGCAATCTTTGACCAACTAGTGGCCAGGGTTAGGGTTCCTCCTCTTTTACATCCCTGCAAAATAAGTTTTTTCTTTTTTTAAGATTGTAATCATTCTATAACCGATAAAACAGAGAGAGTATCAACCATTATTGGTGGTGGGATGATAGGATGGGCTCGGATTTGCTATTCTGTTTCTACATTTTTACCTATCAGACATTACAACTATGTATTGTGGATATCTCTCTTAACATTCATGGGGAGATGTTGAGGATGTTTGCAACCTACACTCATCATGTCGTTTATCGTAAACTTATCTTGCGGTACTCCCATTTAATGTGCATACATATTTGACACACGATTATCTCCAGGATGGAAAAACATAAGGCTCAGTTTGAAAGGAATACAAATATTATTTGCATTTGTACTCCTTCCAAACTGAGCCTATGAGTTTATGAGTTTCTTGTAGTTGTGTTTTCAATCAAAACTGTTCGAGGAATATTTAATTTTAGTAGGAATGCCTTGATATTAATTTCGTGGAACAAAGCCTTCTCTTCTGTGAAGTGAAAATTATTTACTTTCTTTTTTCTATCAATTTTGATTTTCTGAAAGTCTTATTTCGGTCCAAAAAGATTGACCCACTTCGCCTAATGAGGAAGATTTGCTTAATCTTGAATTCTTGATACCGACCTTCTCATAGAATCTTAATATTTTTGTGTTTTACTCCTCTAAATGCTCCCAGTCATGCCATCTACTTGATTGTCATTGATGGTATTTGAATAAAGGGTAAATTACAAAGACCCCCTTGTACTATGGGGTGAGTGACAAAGTCTCTGTATTTTTTTTTTTTGTGACAAAGACATCCTTGAATTTTAGTCGTTAGACAAAGATCCCTTGGTCGTTAAGTCAGATGACCAAAAGCGTTAAATTACCAAAATACTCCACTAAATTTTATGTATATTTTTTTTCTTGTCCTTTTTCTCTTAAAACCTATTTAATCTATTGTTTTCCTTCTTTTTGAGATTTACTTCAAGATACAACACGGATTGGACCCTTTCTGCAAATGTTTTATGATTTAATTTTTCGTCTTCGTCGCTTCGCACGTTTCAAACATGCACACATTTTAATAACATGTAGTGTGTAATTATGCTATGTGAACGGTTATGATGAATCAATTTTTTGTGTTAAGTACCTCGTCATTTGGTCTGCTTCCAAGTGGCCGATGAATCAGAGGCCGAAGTGAACTTTTGCTGGATGAGGCCCTAGATGCCGAGCTAACCAGGCCGAGCTAGGGGCAGATTAGGTGCCGAGTTAACTGGGCCGAACTGGGCAGGTTAGGTGCCGAACTGACTGGGCCAAGCTAGGCAGGTTAGGTGACGAGCTGACTGGGCCGAGTTAGGCAGGTTAGGTGACGAGCTGACCAGAGTGTTGAACTACCTATTAGGTGCCGAGCTGACCAGAGGGCCGAGCTACCTATTAGTTGCCGAGCTGCTTGGTGGCGAGCTGGATTGATTGTTGAGCTTCGTAGTTCCTTAGAGACCTACAAGGAATCAATGTCAGAGGACCCAGGGTGGCTAACCCGGCGAGGTCGCTCCGATGCTTAAGTCAGTACTCTCATAGTAGACTGTGAGCTAAAAATCACAAAGTATGAGAGCTAGAATATGCTTACTTGCCCCCCCAATGCCATTGGGGTTGGTGCCTTTATATAGGCATTGCTTGGCGTGGGTTTCACGCACCGCATATGAGATTTCCGCGAGGTCGTCTAAGTGGTCCGAGATTCCCTTAGGTAACCGCCATGCACGTTGACCACCCTCCGGATCGTTCGACACGTAGGCCAACTTCCATGGATCGTGGGAGTGTTAGGATATGTATGCCAAATTCGTCGGCGAGCACGTCTTGTAGGCCGCCAGGTCGGCGCCTGTGCCAGGCTGCC